TATGGCACAGAGCACAGGAGACAAGAAAAGTCATGCTGGGATGACATCTATAAACTCTCTTTTGCAAGCAGGCTCACCAGTCTAAGCAAATACGAATGGGGCATTTTCTGTGTGTGTGTTCTTTGTGTGGATAGATTGGCGGCTCTCAGGATTCCTAGACTGAACTTGACCTGAACTGTAGTTCAAATGCTTACATGCCTTTCCTTGCCTTTCTGCACATTATGTCTAATTGCGAAAACTTAACTCTAAGTGTTCACATTTCTATTGCTGGTGAGTTATCCAATTCTGTCCCAGTTTATTAAATTTTCCCTCAGACATTTGCCTTTCTGTGTTACTTGTGGCACACATAAATATAGAGATTTTTTTCCCTTAGAGGATCCAGTTTCTTAGTGGAAGCTTGAGGATTATTGCATTAATAAAGAGTGAAACTTTACTTAACAAAAGTGAAACTTTTCAGTGGTATATATATTTACAAATAACCACTTGTCTGATCTTCTGGTTTCCTCTACAAATGGAGGATTTATTCTGTTTTGACAGTCCTAATTTAAATGATAAGGGCAGAATAAAATTTGGCATCTTGAAATCAGCAGCTTGGTTTTGTAAGTTTTGTAATACAAAATGCTTGTGCTGCAAATGTATTACGTTAGAGATGTTTAAATTGCAGTCCTAATTAGAACCCAGAAAACATACTCATAGAATCCCTCACTCATTATTAATTCAGGATCCATCAGTCTTCCTTGTGTCCCTAGAGAATCTTTAAATATTTTTTCTTGCTGTTATGCATATTTATGTATAGTTCCTAACCACTTCACTAAATGTCACTGTCACTTGTTTATTTCCTAATTAAAGCCTGATTTTCATTTGTGCATCTTTTCTTTTCACTGAGCTCCAACACTGCTGTAGTTGTCACACCAAAACCGTACAAAAACACTTTACATTTGTGTTTGTTTTCCTTTCTCTCATAATTACTACAAACGTGTTTTTTTTCATCTATTAATTCCATTCACATTTCATTTCACCTCACTGAAATCTCACTGGAGATAGATTGCTTCAGGCAGTACTTCTCCTGACCCCAGTCTAGTCAAATCCCCAATGTGTACATGAATAGAGGGGAATTTTAGCTTGCACGCCTGTAAACCTACCAGTATATAAGGCTAGCAGTACTGAAGCTAGATATAATAGTTGATGTGCTCAAGTCTTTTAGAACACATTCAAATGCAAAAAAATGAATGCTTAATTACCAATGTACATAAAATACAGATCTTGAAAGAGACATGAATAATCTCACAGTGCTTTTAAGAGTAAGGTGCTCTATAATATAATATTATTTCCTTGTTTTGTTTTTCTAAATATATTTCTTCTTTTTTTTTGTCTTTAAAAGCAGAGAACTTTGAACCTGTATGTGAACTTTATCACATTGCAAGGTAGCGGTAAATTCCACACTGAAAAGAAGAAAAAACAGGTTTCAAATCTTGTTTTTGGCTGTTGTGTTTCTCCTTTCTATTATTTCAGCATGGAATTACATTCAATTGGTCTTTTGCAGCCAACACACAATGACACAGCTCTCCACTTGAACCTCACTTAGCAAGGTTACATGTATGACTTCTTTTGGTATCAAATCTTTAACATTGTCAATGGCAATTGCCATTTATAGAGAATAGTTTATTACAGAGCATTGAAGGTATATACAAACATCTGGCTCAACCATGCACACCTCCTCTTTTGGATCATATATTTAGCTATCTCTTAAGAGCCTCTATTGTTCAGAGGAATGCTTTGACCCTTTTGACAGGTTTCCTTTGAATTTCCATTTGGGCTAATGGAACACTCTAACACTGTGTCAAAAAAGATGATTATCCGCCAATGCAAATTAAGCTTAGCTTCTTGAAAGTAGTGTAATGTGCAAACACTCATTTCTTGTGTGTATTTATGATGCAATGAAAGGTGAAGTTATACAGGAACAATCCTTGAAGGTCATGTAAACCGTGTAATATTAAGCAATTCAAAAGAAAAAAAGTACAGAAATGAATGAACAAGACAAAACAAACAAACCTTAGAACAGTATAATGTAAGTTCTGCGTTATAGGAGTAATGTGAGGACAGGTGTGACATATTCATTGGTTGGGGCACAATCCAAATACCCTCAGTCTTAATTATGTTGTTTTAAATTAAGTGTAGTTGAATGTAATATTGATTATTCACATAACGTCTTTTACAAGGTTTTAATTACCTTTTTGTAAAGTTTCTTTTTAATAACACAAACTTCTTTGTCCTCTTAACTTTTAAGAGTGTACATTAGTGTCTGTGATGTTAACAGGGGGTGGTTACATGAAAATAATTACATTGAAATCATTCAAACCATACTTTCAAGAATTGTCTACCTTTGTGTGCCACTAATCATTCTTTAGGGTCTTATTCAACATGATAGTATTTTGTCTAAGCAAATCCTTTAAATGGCTCTTTCACTGTTCAGTCACAATTCTGGTTCCTTCAGATACAGCAGTTGCAAGTCAATTTACACTTAGTCAATCCTATTGTTCACGTATAGGCTTTTTAATATTAGCAACCAAAAAGTCCAAAGTCATGTGAAAATGGATTTCCTGAAAAGTCATTATTTTGTTAAGAATAGATTAATTTGAAGAAGTATGTTACAGTCTGTTAAATTAATGTTTCTCCTGCCTAGAGAATGCAAAATTATTCTGAATTAAATATTCAATCTGTTGGATTACCGTGTGTTCCACAGACCTAACTTGATTTGGCAAATACAAAACTAATAATAGTATTTGGAGTGTTTGGTTAGCACTGTTTTGGATTTTAAATGTGTCTGTTGAGGACTTAAAATATATTTGTTTCTGTTTTCATGGAATGATATCTGACATAAACATAACCATCTGCTTTGACAGAAAAACACAGTAAATATTTTTCTCTTTATTAATACTATTGTATGAGGATATATTTAGTCCTCTTGGATTATCATTAATCAACAAAAAAGCAATGGAAAAATGAGAACAATAGTTAATGGAGACTTTATTCCACCGATATTTAAGATAATAAGTAGTCACAGCTGATCACATTTTAATAGAGGTATTGTGCTAAAAAAAAAACATGTCCTTTGACATTACAGAACTAGTGCATAGCACTTGAATAGACCTAAATCAGATGAACTGATTTAGTCTTGCTGGCTGATTTTGACAGTATTTTACAAGGATATTTTCAACTTCTACCCACGAAGAAACATGAGACGTCATGTTGATTTGGAACTCACAGATAAAATAATTGAAAATCTACACTCGTCCGCAGAGATTGTCATTTCAAAAGCAGTTTAAAGCACTTTCAGAATAGTCTGGAATGCCACCTGTAAGTATAACAAATCTTCGGAGATATCCTCTGAAAATGAAGACACCTATAGACCATTAAAGCTTACTTGCAAGTTCCACTAAGAGGATAGAAATATATAGAAGTATCATTTGTCCTCAAAGATGACATTGGTCTTGTGCCTTTTTCAGTGCTCTGTAAGAATATTCTGTGTTTTCAATGAATTTTACATTCTAAAGACAGACAACATTGTCAATAATGGCAGATGGGCCTGTTTGTAACTCCTTTGAGCTGTCAGATGCATAATAAATTGAAAAAAAATATTTATTCAACTGGACAAATTGAACATTTTGTCTGGGTGTTTGTCTGACACATCTTGCCTCAATATTCCTGAAAACAAAAGTTGTCTTCCAGTCCTACTGAATGACATCACCTTTTGTATTTCTATTATTTGTCTAAAAGGTAAAGTTTACTATTGAGGTATTCCTGTATGACTCCCTTAATTGTGTTTGTGCTGTGTTTGGAATGCTGTCAGGATGTCTGGTTAGTTTATCTTTACCGGCTGGATGTTGCTCTCTCTGGCTAGGGGGTGTCTCCAGGGCACCCACGGAACTCAGGCTTTTCATCTTTAGGATCTACCCTGGTGTGTCCAGAAAGCAGGGAATAGAAACGCGCATAATTTTTATGGAATGTAAATGGTTTTGTCTGTGTGTGTGTCTGTCGAAATCTATTTCATTTGAGAAACATTTTCACTTGAAATGTACCTCGACGACTGCGACTGAATTTCATTTTAATTCTGCTGTTCATGTCTCATGCAGGTCTTTCCATTGTTACCATAAGCATTAGACTACGTACTGTATAATGAATGCAAGGCTTGTTAGGAAGCTTTTGTGGATATGTGCGATAAATGCTTTCAAAACGTTGCAATCAGACCCTTGTTCAACCTGAATGATTGACGCTATCAGATGTAGCGTTGAGGCGGTTTTTTGTGCTGCTGTTGTAATTTTGAAGCGTGTTGCTGTTATTGTGTGCTTTCCTTAAATAATTATACACAACTCTTAAGCAGCTAACTAAAGCCCAATCATAAAAACAACTGCATTGTCTACCATATAATTTTATTGCCTGTGTTGGAATTTCATTATTCATACTTAAATGCAATAATCGTATGTCCACGTATACCAGGAAAATAAGAACCGTAACAGCGCACTGCTTAACTGAAAACCAAAGTTCGCTAATGGTACAGATATGGGTCAGATTCCTGTTTTCACAGTGCTAAAATCATAAAGACTGCGGCACTTGCATCAATCTAATATCCAACTTCGATCAAACTCTTTTGTCACTGTTAAGGTAGTTGAGTAAACCAAGGAGTCCGCAATTCTTCTACAATCATGAAATACTTGGGTCTGTTTTACTCTTTGAATACTTTTCATCTGTCTTGTCTGACATATATCTGTTTTGGATAGGAGCATGTGTGAAACATTAAATATTGTAATGGGAACAGACATACCTTTTTACCAACTGTAAAGCTGTGTAGTGGAAGTTTATGTCCGAATAAAGCTTGAAATCCCTACTGGAGTTAAACATTATTCATTGGTTACATAATAATTTGGGTTTTTTTCATAGTCTCATGTTTACACACAACTGCTTCCGAAGGACTAAAATGCGAAAACAAATGTGGAACGAGCCGCTGCTGATGAACTCGAAGTTATACTCGTAGCGCAGAGGATTTAACTGTACATTCACCAGCCTTTGTAAGGAGACGCGTGTATGAGAAACTGCTGACCTATAGTCAATGACAATGAAGTTTCAGAGAGTATTATTATTATTATCATGTGGCAAAAAAAAAAAACAACCACGAAGCGCATAAATTAAACAGTGACATTTTTGACAACTGCAGCACCAATGTCACCCAGCTAGCTACCGCTGCGTGTCTGGCAAACCTGCTGTCAGACCCCGGCTTGCGGAGGCAATCCCAGCCGGCATAAAGGGGTGTGACCGAGCCGGCTACAGCAGACACACCGCGAACTCTTCCGGCGCTCGCACATCGTACAAAAGCAATGACGTGTAGGAGAACTTCGTTTCATTCTTCGGAGGAAGAAAGCAACGACGACTGCCCTCTTCTTCAAGTTCCCTCCGAGGGGGCTTGGTTTTAATGGGCAGTTTTCACTCCTCGTCGAGGCGATTAGGAATGCGAAGCCGGATCTTTCGGCAGACCCTCTGCTCAGTCCGATAGAGCCTCTTGAGCGAGACTCGGCGAGCAGCGGCAGCACCTACAGCGGCTGGTGGGGCGCGCGCGCGTGTATCTGTGCGCAGCAGCTTTACTCCGCGCTATCTGATCCTGCCAGAAAGGGAAATATTTAAGAGGCGAAGTGGCTTGGCTCACGCCGTCTTCAGATCCTTCCTGTGCTCCTTTTTTTTTTTTTGACCGCCTTTGGAGTTTTTAGATTTTCGTTAAATCTGCTCCCTCTGGAGGATTGTTTTATTATGTGTCCCAAGCACTGAAATCGATTAATACGGTTCCCGCTTCGAGTTGACACTCACACTGGATATTGATTCGTAGACCTGAGCAGGTGAAGTAGTTTTATTCTTGCTTCTAGTGTTGTACAATATGAATGGAGATGCACAATGGACTGAGCGATAGCTTGCTGATGTGACTGCGGCTGTTTCTTTACATTTTGAAAATTGGTTACATTCTTCTGCGAAAGGACATCAATATATCGATTTGTATTTCGGTTTAGTCCGTATTATCTATTTCCATATCCAGAAGACGTCTAATAATGATTATATATTGGCTTTACGAATATTGAATCTTTTAATTTACATTCTTAATTCGGACCCTTGTGCCGGAATGAGCATGGGCTGTAGCTTGCCCCTTAGTTTGTTTCGTGTCATGTCCTCTTTTTTAAAAAAACAAATGTTACAACACACTATTTTTCAGTCATCTACTCATTGACCTATTTATCTTGAATTTTATTGAGAGACATTGTATAGACTCGATCATAAACCTATCTAATTAAGAATAATACTGATGAGCATATTGTGGAAAAGTACGTTGAATTAAAATTTTACGCTACAAGACTTCAAGATTGGGTCTTGTAAATTTAAATAGCGTTAAGGGCCGTATTCCTTACGCCGAATATAAAGCATTCCTTTTTTTAACAAAGAAAAATAACAATTACTACAGATCGCAGACCATAATGCATGTCGTATCTGAAGACTTTAAGGATTATTATATGAGAAAACGCATATTAAATTTTCCAGCCTAGTGAAGTTTTTAAATCATCCATTTGACCAGTGATAAAAGTTGAATGGGGGGGGGGATGGAGGCTTATCCGTTACTTGTCAAAAGAGTTAAAAGACGGTAGCCCGCTTTGTTGATTAGCAAGTTTCGTGACACGCAGGAGATGGATGCAACGCTCTTCAAAACGCGAATCGACGGAAAGTGCGCCTGTGTCCTGTCACTTTCGTGTCTGCCTCGTATCTGCAGAAGCGGATCTGCGTCTTAAAGCAGCCGCTACCCTTTCTTTGTTAACGAGGAGGGTTGCCCCGGTCAGTTTTGCATATTGTAATCAAACCAATCAGTAATTCGCTGGGGGAATTCAGCTGTAACAGCCCAGCCAGTGCACCGCAGTAAAAGGGGGGTGAAAAGTATTCTTAATTTAGGGGAGTATCACTCGCTTTAAATCCTTATAATGGTAATACCATTGTACAGATGTTTGTCTTGCCAGATTTGAGGATGTACATGTGAGTTTGCCTCGCTGAACCTCTCCGCTCTTTGCGATAGAACAGCGCTAAATCGCGAACCTTTTTTTGTTCTTGTTGCAGAAGGATTGCTTCTCGGCTTGCTCATCATTTACAAGGGGGTTTGGAAAAAAAAAACGGGACTTTTTTTTTGTTTGTTTTATTGGCTTAGACTTCTTGACTAGGAAATGGCAACGCCAGCGCCCGGGAGAGGGACAAGTCTGGGGAAGGAGAGAGGAAATCAGAGCTAAATGACAGGATGCAGGCGACCTGAGACACAAAAAGACGCATTTCTACAACGTTGAGACATTTCTTTCTTTTCTTTGCTCAGGCCAAGCAGGAAGAAAGAATACCCGACCAAGGATCATTAAGGAGTTCTGTTTTCTGTTTTTTATATATATTTTCTTTCATCATGAGGATTCATTGTGGATTAGTGTTTCTCCTTTTAACCGGAATCGTCCTAACTACCAGAGCTTTCAAAACTGGTAAGCGAAGACTGATGTCTGACTTGAATGACTTTTAAAACGTTATGTATGTTTGAGTTACGTCGTTCACACTAACACAGTTCGTAAAAGCTAGAATAACCATGATTAAAAAATAATTTCGAAAGCCTTTATGAAAGTGCAAGTGACCAAGTTTAAAGGCGATGTATCTGATCCCTTGATACAGGAACGATCCATTTTCAGTTTTGCGGAACTTTTCTGTGGTAGCTAAGTGCTTAGTGATTTTCTATGCCCAAACAGGGTTCATTTTCATTAAAAGCTGTGGGTTGCATTGTTTTCTAAACGGATACTGTCTACTTTATAATATATATAGGTCATGTAGCCTGGAGAGGAGGTTCATTTATTTTTGTGTCACCAAAAACGCCTTTTGGAAGCCTACAGAATTCTGATGTCTGTGTAAGGAATGCAGCATCACAAGCGTAAGCAAATAGTATACTTTTCCAGTGTAACACAACTATATCTGTCAAACCAACTGGAGTCTTAGGACTTTGACTTAGGATTTTGCCACACACCAATCATGAATATCGGGATCTATCCTGTTACTGTGGTCATAATTATTACAATCAGAAGTATTAACAAACATCTGATTTTTTCTTTTGGATACATGTTTAAATAATAGACACAGAGGTATAGACACTAATTCAACAATCAAGGAAACGTTTATTAGCAACTTGCCTTATTCGTATTATTTTCAGCCATCGTAACGTGAAGTTCCTTGAAGGTTACTACTACTATTATTTGTTAAGCAGACGCCCTTATCCAGGATGATGCGATACCAAAACGGCATTCACCCGTCATTGTGAAATGTGAAATTGATTTAAACTTACAGTAAGAACCGTGCATGTACCACAAGCTAAGAAAACGAAAGTTAAGCTGTATTACTGACAGAGCAGCGAAACTAACCAAACCACGGGATCGTTTGTCTTAAAAACTTGTCGGCCTTTTCGGCGCAAGTGGTGCTGTTCCATCTGCTGGCCTCGGTTAACTAAAGGCTATCAAGTCGGAACGTCGCCTTAAAGCACATTAACCTTGTCTTGTGCTCCCGGGTCCCCCTTAATGCGACTGTCCAGCCCCCTCACGCTGCTGCCCGCTAAATTAATTCATTATCCCGGTCCTGGGCTAATGGCTCTCAGTCATTAGGAGTTGTTCTTTCTAATCAACTGTTAGTGATGTTTCACAGAGACCTAACGCTTACCATTTTTCTGTCACTTTCTAAAAGCACGACTCCAAGCACCAAGAGACAAAGGTTAATAGTTTTAAAGACTTAAAGGGATTTCTGTCCTCGGATATCATTAAGAGTTCGTTTTAAACTACAAGTGTATAATAACAGTGCTCAATTATAGTCAGAATGTTAATAGTCTCTGCTGTAGCCTATCCCGCCCGTAACAAATTGAGTTTTTCAGTCTTGTCCTTTATCATAACGTTTGCTTAAATTGCATCTTATATGTGCTGTCTGAAGGCCCACTTTAAAGCTTTTTTTTCCTTTCATCGAATGCAGGTGAGTTCATTTCATCAGCTAATCTGTTATGAATAAAATATAGCTCGGTGGACAATAGCAGCTCAATAATACACTATCCTCCCCGGCAGGCAGTACCCCATTGAAGTGACAAATTCGCTACGTGATTCTTAGTTATTAGTTTTAGGCAGCTATTCATTTACCGTAGGAATGATTGGAAGCGGCGTTTAATATTGCTGAACGATATTCTGAAAGCCTTTGTATTAATATGAGCATATATACCACATCTGTTACATTCTTCCATTGCGGATATATAAAAAAATAAATTTTACTTCTTTACACCCCCTGGGTGCTCGTGCTTGGATAGCCAGATTCGTAATCTTTTAAGTAAAGCTTTCTGCTTCATTAAGTCACCTTGAATCTGAGAAGTCTCGCGTGTAATTACTTTTTCGAGGTGGAAGTGACAGGCTCCTTTGTATGCTGCCCCGTATGGTTAACGTTTTATTTTTAATAAACCAGGTGTGGTTAACAACAGAAACGGGGACTGACGAAATCGATTGGTTTTTTTTAATGCTGGCACGATTTTGGTTCGAAGTCGCATCCTAATGGATGCGTTATGTCCATTGTAACGTAGAAGTCGTCAGTGGTATGCATGGTACAGTGGAGTATGCTGTACACTTGCTAATTCAAGCTCTAAAACAAGAGTTAGATCGTCATGTAGTTTTGTGAGGAGGGCAAGTCTTATCTCTTCGCCGATTTTATACCGTTCCTGTTGGGCTGATAAAAAGTTTCCCCAAGCACTTGTACATTCATAAAGCCGGTGATCAGAAAGGGTGGTGGACGTGGCTTGGAGATCGAAAGTACCTTCCTTTGCAATGTGTGGCATTATCTTCTACGCCCGTGGTCAAATATACGACATCCATGGGCCTCAATAAGGAGAAAAGCCCAAGAAACGCTAATTTGTGCTGATATCTATGTATTCCCCGTATATGCTGCTGCCTTGGAAGTAGGAATACTTTTCACTGAGATCAACTCTGAAATGTAACGGGAACAGTGGAACATTCGAAGCTGAATGTTTTGATATACCTTTTCGTTGTTGGTTTTTGAACTGGCTTTTTAATACAAAACGGCATTGACATTTTCAACAGCCAAATCTCTTGCCGTATTAAACTCTTTTCCTTAGCGTGGAGAAGATATCATACGACTATCTCTTGAGATTGCTTACTTAACCGGACTGTTCTATGTATCTTTCTTTCTACTTTGCAGATAAATGTGGGGATAATATCAAAATTACAAGCCCTAACTACCTTACTTCACCTGGGTACCCAAACTCCTATCATCCGTATCAGAACTGCGTGTGGGTGATACAGGCTCCAGAGCCTTACCAGAGGATTCTAATCAACTTTAACCCTCATTTTGATCTCGAAGACAGAGAATGCAAGTAAGTACCCTTGGAGCCGTGCAATTTTCTGATGAACTACGCCATCTTCTGGCTGTCGTTAACAAATGTCTAAATTCAAGTGTGTGAAGTCCCAGACTGGCGAAACAGATGTTTACACTTCACGAAACAGCTTTGCATTATTACCATAAAATGTAATCACATTTTTTTCAGAATGTTTTGACATATTTTCTAGTTCTTTCTGGAATCTGAAATAAACACTTCTGAGCTTAACATATTACGTGAAAGTGCAGTCCCCGGGCACCTACTCATTAAGACAGATGCAATACGTTTATCAGCTAAAACTAAAATATTCCGTCTATATTAATTGTCCCGTTAAACAATTCAAAGAAATAAGTAATAAGTATGAATTCTTCCACATTTTCACAGTATTTTAGTGTCACCATTTACTCAATTTAGAATAGCATTGCCTAACAGTTTGATTCTTGTAAGTGAGGATATCAGGAAGCTGAGAGTTGAACGATCGTGTAAATGGCAAATTACAACAACTTTGCCAATGGAATAAAGCTGCATGTTTTTGTTGCAGAAATTTCATTTGATGCCTTAGGCTGGCTTCCAGGTGTCTTGCATTCTGGCTTGCATTTTTCCTCTCACAGCTAGAGGAAATATACCTTGTATTTGCAAAATAGCTCATTGATGCTTATTCTGAAGCGTTAAAAAGTATTACAAGGCTGGCATTCTGATGTGTTTTCTTGTACACTGATAAACCTCAATGTGTTCTCCAACTACCACTTATAAATTGCACTTTTTACTTTAGTCTTTACTTTTTATGACTCTGTAAACTATCAGTAATTTATGAGCCTGGTGACTGCTGCTGCCGAGCAGATGAGGGTCTGTGACTACAAATGGATCACATTTCGTCACCATGGGACTAATAAAATTTTCACAGACCCTAGGATACTGATGTTGCAAAAAGGATAGGCCTGCAAAGGAAACAATCCTTTTTGATTTAATTACATAAAACAGAGGTGGATTTCCTGTGTGAAATAACCATAAAAAGCACAAAACCTGGATGCTAAAGAATGATGAGATAGTTTGAAGGCAAAATTAAGTTGAATGTAATACAAAGCCATTCAGACTGAAATAAAATGCAGAATTATTATCACTAATCTGGATTAAAGCACAGTTCAGCATTTGAATTTCACATTTCGTTTTTTTGGGGGGGATTTGTATAGTGTATTATCATGTACAGTGGCAAGGAAAGGAATTGTGTTTTCTGTGATATTACCTTGCCAATTTACACTTATTGCACCTGAAAGCAAGTTAAAAATATTTAATGGCCATCTTTCAACCTTGGGTGGTTGACCACGGGTTTACAACATAAATCAACAAACTAACCTAAACAAATATTTACCAAGTTATCAAATTCCACAGTAAGGCTTTTCTGATGTAAAACAAAATCTATATGTGGACACAAGTCAGTCTTCCATAAGTCTTGAAAAAGTTTATTATTAAGTTTAGAAAAATAAATCCTAAATAAATGTCCTGAAGGATGCAGAAGGACCTTCACATTGTCAGGTAGTTGTCAAAAGGTTTTTTTCTCGTGTTTCTTAATGTTTTCCAGGTAAATAAAGAAAAAAACTACTGGGTCATTAAGTAAGTTACCAAACTATAAAATAACTTAGAAAAACATAGGTTTAGCCCCCCCAGTTGAGCAACTGGGACATAAAAACACAGAAAATGTGTTTTCTGTGTGGAATTTAAAATATGGTAATCAAATTCCCAGTCACAGCTGAATTTTCATTAAAGTTCCAAACATAATGGGCAGCGCTGTTCAAAATTCTTTGCTTATCAGAAAAATCTGAAGAATTCATTTAGCTGCAAACAGAACACATATGCTATGCATACTGTGAAACATAGTGGTAATTACACAACCTAAACAAACATTCACTTATAAAAGGAACCAGAAGCTACTCGAATATACCTTTGTAAAATACTGTGCCCAAAGCACGTAGAATACCAAAAAATCAGGGAATGTGAAATTCCAAAATATAACCACAGAGTATAAATATATAACCACAATATAACCTCTTCAGGAACTTTGCCATTTTTCAGTGCCATTTGCTTAGATTTTGCTTAGAAACTAAAGTTACAAAGAAAGTAAGGTGATAAGATAAACATTTTAACTGAAAGTCTCTTGTCTCTCAGCTTGAATTAGCTGCTTCCCGTGCAGCTGAGAGAACAAAAATATAAATAACATCAATAAGTCTTTTGTACAGGCACCGTCACATCAATGAGAAATAGGTAACTGGAGCAGCTTCAACAGAAAGGCTTGCATATTATAGAACAGACATTAAATTACATGAATTAGCCACATTCTCCCTGATTAGATTAAGCAAATTGCAGTTAAACAGTTAGGAACATCTGAGTTCTTTTATTTGTATTGTTGCTTAGCTTCCAACAATTAGACAGGAAGGCCTCCTTTCGTGAAACCTGGTTATTGCCTTTCTGTTAGGGAGGTTTCTGATGGGACAGAAAGTTTTCCCAACTGAAATGTAATTCTCTTTTTAAACACAAAGCCAGGCTTTGTCTTTCACAGAAACTCATGTCTGAGTACAGCTTTCTCTGGGAAAAAAAAAATTGGAAGAACCTGATGAGCTGCAATGTAAACAAGGAAAAGCTACATAAACAAACAACATATCAAGGCAAGCTGGCAAGGTTTAAGTGTACAGAATAGCGTGTTCGCATTTGGACCAGCATAACAGCATTTCCTACTTGTTATGTATGCATGGTATTGTATTTCAATTTAGTATGGGGGGGGGGGGATTCTGCTTGTGTTTTTGTACAAAATTTAAACTCAAGATTTCTCAGCTTTTGAGATGGTGTGGATTTTTGGGCAAGCTGCCTCCATCTTTCAAAAGAAACGAAAAGACCAAGTCCAAAAATCACACGTGTTAATAAGTAACATCTCTTACACATTCTTTCTCTTGACTGGCTCTCACCAGCCCACATAGCCCAGGCACTGTAGAACCCCATCTAACAGAGACTGCTCCCACGCTGCAAGATGAACATGCTGATATACAAGGGCACCCTCTCTCTCCGAGGCCCTTCCAATCCAGAGCATTAGAAGGGCCAATTGAACAAAGCCATAACTCTCACTGATCCATGGAAACACTATACACTTGTTACTGCTTAATGTTCTGACAGTACTTGAGCAAATACAAATCAGTGTAATCAGACATTAAGAGCTCCCATGTGTGAAAATAAATACAGTTTAAAAGTCATACTTCTCTTTTCCCTATTTTTGGGCTGCATAATCATGGAATGTATTGGTTAACAGACACAAAAGACTGAGTATTATGGAAATAAACATGAATGAGATGTTTTAATCAGCGACCGTATATACTTGGCATTGCCTTATATCTCCTTGAAATGAAATATTATAACATAAAAATGCACGTCTGGGATATCTTATAAAGATAAATGCAACCTCTGAGTGAAATCCAAACAGATTATATTTCTTTGATATTAAGCACTATCATAGGATTCACTTATAACTTAAAGCCTGTGTATTCGTATATACCAGCTTATTCATCATCACTGCTGTCAAGTAAGATGAAACAGGAATGCAAACTATTAAAGCCTGTTAAATCTGTGCATCCACATTTGAAGCAACTGCTTGTCATGAAAATGTTCAACCTTGAAAAGAGAATCCCACCACTTTATCAAAAGCCCATTGTGGTTGTCTCAGTTTGCAATATAACCAGGTCACACAAGAGAAACACTGTTTCATACAGTGTTTTTACCTAATAGTGTTAATGACTGCTGAAGTATGCAATAAACTGCCTCATATTCTGTTAGCATTGAAAGTGCAGGGCTTTCTTACATTTATAAGAAATAGTCACGCAACTCAAATATCTCACTGTCTCAAAGTCACATGAAACAACTGAGGATGAGGATAGATCATAAAAGCTTTCTCATTGCAAAAGTATCTCTCCTGAAAGTCAAAAACAGAATAATATTTTATGTCTGTGTTTTATCTCTCTAGCTGGTACAGAAACCACAAAGAGTCTTAATTGGCAACAATAAAAAAATAATGATTTTTATACATTTAATGATTCTGTCTCTTTTTCTGAGTTCTTTTCTGTGGTTCACTTGATTACAGCTCATGTCAGTATGACCAAGAACAAACTGAATTCGAGGTCCTTTGGAAACAAAAGTGATATCTCTGGCGAGGAAAAAAGGGATTAAAATTGTAATTACAATTAGGATAATATTTCTGGGCTGTGGAAAATGGTTGTTTGAGTATTGAGACTTGTTTCTGGGGGCAAGGGGGAAGCATGTTAAATGATGCTGATAAGAGATAATTTTGCTCTGCAGTTCTACAACAGCTGCTCATGTTAGTACTTGCCTCTCAAGGTGAAAGTTTTCAATTCACTATACCAAAATAATTAAGGTAGTAGGTGAGTCATTTCAATTAACAGCAGTTGCTATAGGTTATTTTCAAAAGATTAGGCTGGCAAAAAATGAAATTAATGTTGTACAGTAGTTTAATGTAGTTCATTTCAGAATCTCCCCAAACCTGGATCAGAGTGAAGGGATTTTTGCTCTGGGAAAGACCAGCAATGTGTAGTTTCTGTTACAGGCAAAGCAATACAAAGAGTGGCTGCGTACTTCAAGTGTTAAATCGAGGAAGCAGCATTGTTTAAATTGCTCCAAGACAACTCACTCTCGCATGAGCCAAATACCAGCCACAGACTTTCGTTGTTCACTACTTTTTCACAAATTAAACACAACACAATATAAGAAAATCTGGGTACTTGCTATAAATAAAAACATGTAGTTGTTGAACAGTGAGAGGAAAGAACCGTTTGTTTAGCCGTTTGCTACTGGTTTGAGGTTTTGCTGTGGCACTGAACTTTTAGGAATAACTTGTGCTCCTAAGGCACAAAAGAGCACTTTCTATAGCTTTTTTGAATGATGATTCGTCCTCAGTCTCAATACAATCAGTTAAAGATTTGAATTTTATATATACATAAATG